GAAAGAATGAAAGAATGAAAGAGAAAGAATGAAAGAGAAAGAATGAAAGAGAAAGAATGGAAAAATGAAAAATATAAAAAAACGCCTGGACACGGACCCAGACCAAATGGCCTTGCCCGGCGCACCCGTGGCAGCTGGCCCTGGCACACCGGGGCTCCTCACATGGGGCCCGTGGTTCGGGCCTGGCGAACCGGGCCCGCGCACCAGAAACCTGGGTCCCCGCCCGCCCCAGCTCGGGCCGCGTTCGCCATACAGTCAGCCGCTGCTCTCAATAACGAATTTCTCGATTCAAGTACACACGGCACTTGGGACGCGGCGACTACTCATGTTCTCGAAGAGCCCCCCAGGGGAAAATTGAACAGCAAACGTTCTCCTGAGGGACAGTGTTTTCCCTTAACTGCGAGAGGTGCCGCCGGGGCACGTGACCGCCGGCCCCACGACGCGCCCGTGCCCGCGCCGCGCCCGCACACCCGTGCCTCCGCGATCAAACCCAGCTACACCTCGCGGCACCGGAACAACACCTCTTTCCCCAAACAACTGCCGCGAACCCACAAAACAGCATCGCGCACACAGCCGCTTCCCCCCGGGCCCACGCAGAACCACGTGCACCGATCCGCCCGCCCCATGGCGCATGCCCGCCGCTCCCCTCCGCCACCCCCGCCTCGCTGACCCGGTCCTTCCCTTCCACCATTCCCAGCCTTTTGCTTGCAACAGGCCCCCCCGGCATGCCGCCCAAACCCCCCCTGGCCGCCCGCGCCCGCGGCGCCCGCAGGCCGCGTGCCAAGAAAAGCGCGCCGCCGCCCGCGGGCGCGGCCGGGCGCGAGGCGGAAGAGGCCGCCGGCTCGCCCGAAAACAGGCCGCGCCACGGGCCCAGCCAGTCGCTTCTCGGGCCCCACAACACGCTCAGACAGCTTCTAGCGGGCAGTGCCGCTGGGCCGGCTGCCGCCGCCACGCCACCGCGGAGAGCCGCCGGGGCCTTGCGCGCCCGGCTCTCGCTATCGCCGGCCAGCTCCGCCAGCACGCCCATGTCCCGCCTCAAACACGCCACCGCCCAGTTGGGCATTCTGGCCGCGGGCGGCCGGCTGCCGGTCCGCTTTGACGACGTCGAGGCGGAACTGCCGCCGCCAAAAAAGCGCCGCCCCGGCCGGCCCCGCACACAGCAGGGCCGCCGGCCGCCCAAAATCGAGGCGTTTCCGGACGACGACGACAGCTTCATGGACCACGCGCCGCCCGGCCCTCCTGGCTCGGCGCTGGGGGCCCGGCCCGGGTTGTCGCGCCGGTCCTCGTACAACAACCGGGGCAAACGGGGGCTGTCGATCGGGAACGGCTTCGTTGCCAAGCCGCACTCGGAGGTGTCCGAGACAGACTACTACAAGCACATCGACTCGTCGATGTCCGAGCCCAACCGCATGCGCCAGCTTCTAGCCTGGTGCTTCCGCAAGACGATGGAGAACGACAAGAGCGGCCCCGGCGGCGCCTCCAACGAGGCGCGGACGGCGGAGGGCGTGGCCAAGGCCATCGAGCGCGAGCTTCTCGAGGATATCATCAACGGCGCCATCTCCACCAGCTGGTACAGTATGAAGGATGACAGGCCCGCCGCGCAGGACCACGTGCCGGGGAGGACCATCATTCGTCCCAACCCATTGAATGAGGCCAACAAGGAGAGCATTGCGATCTTCTCCGCCAAGCTCAAGAGCCTCCGTGCGGAAAAGGCCAGGCTCTTGGCGGCGTATCAAGCCAGCGTGAAGGGCTTGGACGACCTACTCCTCGACCCGGGCGCCGCCCCGGAAGAAGCTCTTCGAGCGTACCTACGAGAACACCAATCGGACAGGAGCGTCCAAGAATCGACGCTCGGTGAACCGGTGCCAAAGGAGGTACAGCTGCACGTTCAGAAGGCTAAGTCCAGCGTGGAGCTCGATCTAGAATTGAACGTCGACAAGCTCCATAATCTTCTGCACCGGTTGAGGCAAAGTGCTGGTCTCGTGTCCAAGCTCCACCAAAACGTCCTTGCGCCGGAGTTTTCGGACCTTGTGCGCAAATACGCACATCGTGGCGAGGGCAAGAACGAGCCATCCACCAGGGAACTATTGCGGGGAATCACCAAGCTAGACCGCGCGCGCAGACTCAAATGAAACCACCGGCCGGGTGGGGTCGCTCGTACTTCCCGGCTACTCGGATGGTATTTCATCAGGGCTGAACCAGGCACGCCTCGGCCCACCATACAAACATCTGAGAAGATAAGACTTTGTGGATAGACCACCCTACCTATGTATATTAATGTAAAATGTGTGTATTATATCAACATTCTTCGTATCTACCTCGCGAGTAGCTTTTTCCAGGTCTTCAATAGCCTTCTCTGATGGCTCCGGATGATGTGCCATTGGCAATACTGTTGTTCTAGATCTCAAATGCCTCGGCCATGGTCACAAGGCGCTTCACGCCGGTGTGCCAATCACCGGCCTCAGCGGAATACTCCTGTCCAATTCTTTGATGAGAAGCAGTGGCCTTTGGATAGTCTTTGTCATTCAAGGACTTCGCCACGTCGTTCAACAACTCAATAGTTTGAGCAGATAAGAGGGTTTGCCGACTCAAATGGTCAAACAATATTCCAAGCCTCTTCTCCATATCCAAAACATGTTTTGCATACTTTGGTGGTGCAGCTGGTTTGATCTGGCCCAAAATAGTGCCAAATGAAGACTTGATGAACTCTCTAGCCTCGTTGTTTGGGTCCTTCGGATTCCCTTCCTTGTTCGCAGTTGGGGGAGTAGCAGCGGGAGGCTGTGCGGCATTTCCCGACACAGCCATGGGGGGTGGCACCGCTTGACGACTTCCGGATGAAGAAGGTGGCGCCACATTACTGCCCAAACCAATTGGAGGTGGTGCAATATGGCTGGTCGGAGCAACCGGAGGTGGTGCAACACTACTGACCAGAGCAGCCGGGGGTGGCGCAACATGACTGGTAGGAGCAACCGGAGATGCAATATTACTGATTGGAGCTACCGGAGGTGGTGCAAAAGTTCCATTTCCGTTCGAGTGGCCCACCTGAGGCGAAGAGTATCTACCATTTCCCAATTTCTGAGGCGGAGCAAAATGGGATTCAGCCGGCTTGACTGGGGTTTGGCGAGCGGAAGCAGAAGGAATTCTCGGCATTGGAGGTACAATGCCTTGTGATGTTGGGCCCCCTATCGACCCGTTCGAAACACTTCTCAGGCCCTGCCTGGCGTTTGGCGAGTAAGGGTTGACGATTTGAGTCGCATTCCTGGAAATACCAGCAGTGGGAGGTGCAACAAAATTGTTCATAGGGGGTGTAGCGTAGGTCGTTTTGGCCGAAGGTACCACTGCTGGGGCATATGGGTTTATGGGGGGTGCACTTGCCTTTGGAGGCGCAATTGGACTAGACATGTTGGTCAGGTTCATTCCATTTGGCTGCAAGGCAGGTGATGGCGGAATGGTAGGAGCGTACTTACTGGGTCTGGGTGAGCTCGCTATCCTTGGAGTACCCGGAACAGAAGTCTTCGACACAGAACGGCTTCCAGCTTTTGGAGGAGGGGCAATTGAGTGTGATGCTTGAGGTCTTTTTGGTGGCTGGGTTTGAGGAGTCTGTGTGACAGAAAGAGATGGCGATGGGGCGGGGACACGACGAGAGACTGGCTTGGAAGCTTTGAACGTCTCGGGCAAATCATTCCAGCCTTCAGTCTCTGGCTTGTATTTTGAGCCCGTACTTGACGGAGGAGCCACAGCAGTCTGAGCTCCCTGTGTCGGTTGCAATGTTTGAGTGAAAGCAGGCGTTGATGGTGGACGAATCTGGCCTGGAGGCGGGACCACCGACGGGGATGATGAAATCCCCAACGTATTGTTCTGCGGAGTGAAGTTGTAGCCACCAAAGGACCCGCGCTTCTCAGCACCTGCTGGCACATATGGGTTTGCGGGTGCTGCAAATGTCGGGGCAGCTGCTGGGGCAAATGCCTGTGCTGTGCCAAGCAGTGGATTGCTCATCGCAGGAGCCGCTTGCAGATATGGTCTTCCGGCGGCAGCAGGCTTTGCAAAAGGCGGCTGTGGGGGGACGTTAGACGCAGCCCTCGTGTTGATGTAACGGTTTTGGGATTTTGGAATACCACTGCCTGTACTCTGGCGAACAGGGTCGGGAGCCATGGAAGTAGCTTTGACAATACGCTCCTTCTCCAGTTTCAAGCCCGCGAAATCATCTGGCAAGAGACTCAAGTACTGAGTAGCGAGCTCGAAATCTCCATTTGCAGCAGCCATGTTGGCGAAGTCAAAGACGGCTTTGCACACCGGCTCTATGGAGGGGCCTGCAAGTGGGCCTGTGATATTGGAAAGCGACCTGTAGACGGAGATCTTTTCGACAAAGCCTGCCAACGCGAGATATCTGGCATCGTGAGGAGAGGAGATATTGGCATTTTTGGAAGTTAAGATCAGGTGCTCTAGATCTGGCAACCCTGTGAGCCAGATAGAAGAGACCTTGTCCAAGGCGTTTCCAGCCAAGTAGCACATCAAGGCATTTCTTCTTTTCTCGTTGTCACTGGTGCCACTGGCAAGAATGCGATCGCCCAACTCCACAACTTTCGAGTTGAAGTCAGCTTCCTCCGTGCAGTAGCTGGCGATGCTGGCAGCGATCTCCTTCCAGTTCGAGATGTCTGCGTTGGAGACGATGTCCACAATGTCCTTGGAGGACGCCGAGTAGATCAAGCGCGAGAGCACGCCGTCTTTAGTTTGCTCAAAGAAGTGGCTCTTGACCTTCCTCTTGACGTTGTCGTCCTGGTTCAATGCCAAGACCAAGGCTTCCATGAGCTTTCCCTCTTCCAAGCAAACAGACACAGCGTCGGTGATGTTGTTGGCCAACAAAAGCTTCGTCAAGCGCGAGTCGCCGGATGACAGCAGCTCGTCGATGATTTTGAACTGGCCGGCCGGAACGTAAGGGGGCTTCTGGTCCAGCGTCTTCTGGGTCTGGAAGTCCTTCGACAAGCTGGCGAAGAAGGAGTCCTCGTTGTCCGCGGGGGTCGAGACGAAGTCGTCGGCCGGCTTCTCCGGCGGTGACGCCGGGCCGTCGCAGTCTTCTTCGAGAAAAGCCTGCAAGAAGTGGCTCTTGCCCCGCTTCTGCAACTCCAGCAAGACCTCCCAGTCGGCGGCATCGCACGTGGGCGACTCCAAGCGAGCGGCGAGAAGGGCGCGGAAATCGTTCGTCGAGATGGCCGAGGCCAAGGCCTTGGAGAAGCCGTGCTCGGCGTTGGCGGTGGGGAGCGGCGAGACGCTCACGGCGGACTTGCCCTGGCTGGTGGAGACGGAAACGAGCTTCAGGCCAAAGCCAAAGGAGGCGGTGCAGGGTCGCTTCAACCAGCCGGGCGCCTGGGAGAGTTCGACGACGGCACGGGAGGGCTCTTCGGCGGCGATGGCGCCCCAGAAGTCGTCGTCGGAGGCCGCGGCAGCACGGTCGGGCGGCGGGGCGGCCGTCTCCTGCGACGTCCGCACCACGACCTTGCCGTCGAACGACGCGGTGGCAAACACGTCGGGCGCGCGCGGCGCGAAGCGCGTCAAGAAGGCCCAGTTGCCTGCGGCCGGGTAGTCGGCCAAGTGCGCGCCCGAGAGCGGGTTCCACAAGCGCGTGCGGTTGTCCTTGCCCGCGGAGAGCAACAAGGCCGGGTCCTGGGCGCACCAGTCGAGGGCCAACACGCCCTTGGTGTGGCCGCGCAACACGGCCTCGGGCTCGCTGGCGTTGCGCAAGTCCCATGCCATGAGCCACGGGCACGCGTCGCTCTGGCTGGCGGTGATCAACTTGGTCAGCTGCGTCGGGTGCCACGCCACGTGCGAGAAGTCGGCGCGGCCGGACGCGCCGGCGTAGGTCAAGTGCAAGACCTCGCGGCGCGCGTTCAAGTCCCAGATGCTGGTGTAGCCGGCGCTGCTGGTGGAGGCCAAGATGTGGCCCACGGCGTTGTTCCAGGCCACGCACAGGATCTCGTCCATGGGCGCGGTGGGCTTGCCCGGGGCCACGGGCGGCGCGAACGTGAGCAAGTCCCACACGAGGAGCTCGCCATGCAGCCCGCCGGACGCCATCACGTGCGGCTGGTGCGGGTTGAACAGCAAGCACCGCGCGGCGCCCAGGAGGCGGTCGGAGGCGTGGATGCTGGCCGCGGCCAACGGCGCGCCGCCTAGAAGCGTGGCCGCGTCCCAGAAGAGCACGGCGCCGGAGTCGAGCGCGCCGACCAACACGCCGCGCGCGTGGGCGGCGAACGGCGGCAGCCAGGCCAACGCGCGGAACTTGTGGTCCACGCTGGCGGCAAAGAGGGGGGCGTCCAGCGGGCCCGACACGTCCCAGATCTCGAGCGAGGCCGCGGACGAGAACGCCGCGTCGACCGCGCCCGCGGCCGAGCCGGTCGCCAAGAGCGGCACCACGTCGGCGCTCCACGCAAATGTGGCTGTGCTGTGGATTTCTTTGATTTTCATGGCCTGCTGTGGGGGCTAGGTCCGCGGGGAGGGCAGCAGGGGGATTCACTGGCGCGGGGGCGGGGCGCGGGGAAGGGGGGGCAGGCGGTCCGTGCGGCGGGGTGTCCTGGTCGAAGGTCCGTGGGGGCGTCTGCGGATCCAGCAAATCGTGGTGTAGAAAGGGAAAAGAGGGAGCAGGTTTGTCCGCGACTTGTTGGCAGTTGATACTTGCCAACGCACCGGCCTGCAGGCGGCGCGCGCGCCCAGGGCACCTATGGGCATGTCCATGGCCGACGGCCCTGTGGGTATTTGGGGGTGCGGGTTTTAGGACGGGTGCGGGTTTTAGGACGGGTGCGGGTTTTATGAAGGCTGGGGTTTATGAAGGCTGGGGTTTATGAAGGCTGGGTTTTGGTAACGCTGGGTTTTGGGAAGGCTGGGTTTTAGGAAGGCTGGGTTTTAGGAAGGCTGGGGCGGCCCTGATGGTTTTGTGGGTTTGATTCGGGGAGGCCGCTTTTTTTTTGGGGTGCTGGCCGGGTGTCGCTTGGTGTCGCTGGGTCTTATTGGTGGTCTGTGGAGTAGGGTTTCGGGCCTGGAGATCTCTGCAGGGCGTGCTTGGAGGGCCTGGGGCGGCGCCAGGCGTGTCACGTGCCCGCGCGCCTGGCGCCGCCCGGTGGCTGGCCGGCTGGCGGCGAAATATCTTCGGAATGGCTGCACCGCCGCCTTGTTCCGCAATCCGGTTCGGTGGTGCGGTGGCTGTGTTCCCTGGGCCGGCTTGGGGCTTCTGGGCGGCGCGGGCGCCGGGAGCAGCCGGGGCGTGATTTTACGTGGGGGTTGCAGTTCCTGCTAATAGAGTCCGCCGGTGCGGAAACTGGAAAAGTGGAAAGCAATGTCGGTTGAGGTGAGAGTCCCATAAATCTGAAAGAGACTTCTAAATCTGAAAGGGGCCGATGAATCTTGTAGAGGTCCATTAATCTTGAAGAGGGCCGTAAATCTGAAAGAGGCCCATGACTCTGAAAGATACCCATAAATCTTAAATAGGCCTATTAATCTTTAAGAGGCCCATGACTCTGAAAGAGGCCCATGAATCTTAAAGAGGCCCATTAATGTGAAATATACCCATAAATCTTAAATAGGCCCATTTATCTGAAAGATACCACAAATCTGAAAGAAGGCCATGAATTCTAAAGAGGCCCATCTTACTGCTGATATCTCAAAATCTGTAAAATGAGATATGTCAGGAATCCAGATATAATTAATTGCTGGTCCTGCAAAGAATCACACAACCAGTGGATTACATGTATTACTTACTCTGGGCGGGGCTTTCATGATTTCCTCCATAATATATCAGAGATGATTTCAAGTTGACTTCGACCTGTCGTCCGATGAACGTTTTGGCCTATCGTTTAGTAATGTGACTTGGTTTCACATGGTGAACCATAGAGACGCTACTAGATCACCCAGCCCAGGAATCTGAAAGAGGGCCATGAATCTTTAAGAGACCCATTTATCTAAAGAGGCCCATAACTCTTGAAGAGACCCGTAAATCTGAAAGAGGCCCAAAATCTTAGACAGGCCCATAAGTCTTAGACAGGCCCCTAAATCTTGAGGAGGGCCATAAATCTCAAGCAGACCCAGAATCTTAAGCAGACCCAGAACCTTAAAGAGGCCCATTAATCCCAAAGACACCCATGAATCTTGAACAGGCCCATAAATCTGAAACAGGCCAAGACCCAGCCACACGAAACCAAGCACCGACCCGTTTCTGATTCTGCCGCCCGGAAGTTCCGTGGCCCCGGGAGAACAAGATCGCAGAAGGGCCGTGCATGCTCATTGCCGTTCAAAGGGGTACTCGGAAGAACAGTTCCCCACGGCCCCAGGCACGTGACGTACCGCTTGCACTGGCCCCGGTCCTCGCCACGTGGGGCCGTGTCCTGCCCGGTTTGTGGATGGCTGTATATGCCAACACCCGAAGTACAAAGACGGCCAGCTTCTTCGTCTGATATACGGAACAAACACTGGCAGTATCGTTCAGGGTTGTGGCGGGGTCGGCCCACCAATAAGCTTGGGGAAGAGCACAAGCATGTCAATATTCGCAAAAAGCCCATGCCCAGAGCCGCGTTTATAACAAAGACCCGAGGAGAAAGGCTGGCACAGGCTTGGGCCCCAAAAGCTTGTGTTGAGAACTATCGGTGTGTTCTAGAGCCCGCATCTGAGCGACGCACCGGCGCGGGGTGCGCTGCAACACGGGCCATGGTTTGGCATGCTACCGACCGGGTGCGGCCAATAAAAAAGTGTCGATAATTCTCTTTTGTGCCTGTGGTCCTGTGGCCCTGTTTCTGACCCGGCTCAGGCGGCGCATACCAGATGCTTGGTTGTTGGCGGCGCCTGGTAATAAACCTCGCGGCTGGTAATAAACTGCGCGCCGCGATCTAATAAAATATCGCGAGCCGTAGTTTAGCACGGAAACCCACTTGGTCTTTCTCTGGGGACAGGACTCTGTGGGACGCCGCCTGGTTTTCGAGAGCGGCGCTGGCAGAGGAGCACTGGATTTTTTTTTTTTGATACACCAGTTCACAGTCGATACCTCAGGCCTGGTTGAGGCCACCCATCTGACGTCCGGGTACTTGGGCCAGTTGGGAGGTCTTGCGGAACACACATATGAAGTTGCGTTTTCCGAGGGCCAGGCTGGAGAAGGCTTCAGGAAAAGAGCGCCCGCAAAGGGCCGGGCCTGGCTCTTGACTAGTATCGCCGGGCCTGGCTCTTGATAAGTCTTGCTACAAACCAGGTTCACGCCGGCACTCGTTTTGGGGCCTATTCGCCCATCACCAGCGGCTACTAGCGGCCTGTTCCTAATGTCCTTGTCCCAAATTTTTCTGGCTCCAGGGGACCGTTTTCCCAGTGGCATTTTCCAGCCAGAGGCCGCGACGGGTGCCAGCGCCGCGCGAGTCTTTAAGTGCGGCCCCAGCGAAAACTGCCCCACCAGAGCCACCACGTTGGAGCCAGCACAGCACAGCCGGCCCCGACAACACCTCCCCCCCAAAACTAAAAACCCGTCACAACAAATAAAAAAAGAAAGCCAAAACAAACCGAAAAAACAAACACAAACACAAAACCCCAAAACCCCCCAAAAATCCCAAAACATCCCCAAAAATCCCGAGAAAAACCGCCGCCAGCCGAGTCCCAGGGCCCGCGGCCCGGCCGGCACAGTGCGCGGCGCCGCCGCGCGCCATCAACACGCTCTCCCATCATGGCCGGCCCTTCGCCCTTCTTCTTCCACCTTCTTGCTCCCTCGTCCTCACACACACCCACCCGACAGCATGGCCGAGGACCCAGTCGGCGAGCACGGCGCCGTGGAGTTCGAGCTCCCGTTGGCGCCCGCGCCCGCGGCCAACTTGTTTGCGCCGCACAAGTACCTCCACAAGTTGTTGGGACTCGACGCCAGCGACTCGCTACTATCGGACATTTTCGCCATGGTGGCGGCGCTCTGCGACCCCATGACACAGCCCGAGGACAACGAGCGGTTCCCGCTCAGCGTCGAGGCCTTGGGCCAGGTCGCGGTGGCGCTCGCGTACCAGATGCTCGTGGCACAAAGCGCGCCGCCGGGCGACCCGAAACAGGGCGACCACAAACACACAGACCACAAACACACGGACCCGAAACACGCGGACCACAGCCATGCGGACCCAAAATACGGCAGCCCGCCGGCCGGCGCGGCCGGCGTGGCCGCGCTCCGCTTCGCGCTCTCGCTCAAGTTCTTCGCCATCCTCCAGGCCATCCACCGCGTGCTCCGGGCCGACGACGAGCTCCGCGTGCGGTACTTGCAGAACGACCGCGACGCGTGGCAAAACACCGCGGCGCACTGGCTCCCGGGCGTGCCGCCGGACGCGCCGCACGACGCGGACGCGTGCCTCAAGGTGCTCTACTACGCGGCGTGCGTGGCGGTGATGGCGCTCCACAAGCTCTTTGCGCCGCCGCGCGGCGCCGCGTACTCGCCCGCCGTCAACCCCTACTCCGAGTACTTGCTCCGGCTCTGGAAGACGCACACCAGCATCGTGGCGCTCGCGTTGGAGATGGACCGCGAGTTGGAGGAGCAGGCCTGGGCCGCGCGTGCCGAGTACTTGGACACGCCGGAGCTTGTCAAGAAGGCGCTCCTCGGCTCCTCGGCCGTGCGCACCGTGCTCGCGTGGGTGCTCGAGCAGGTGGGCGCGGGCGCGCCGGCGGGCGAGGCCGCGCCGCTCGACGCGGACGTGTGCACGGCGCCGCTCCTCCTCTTCTACGACCCGTTGGCGCGGGCCGCCAGCAACTGCGGCAGCGTCACGCGCGACCAGCAGCTCCTCATGGTGGCCACGCTCGTGGTGCGGCTGCACGTGCGGCTCTCGCCCGTGGCGGACCCCCCGCCGCCCGAGACGTTCCCCGTGTTCGACGCGCAGGACTACGCGTTCCGCGTGGCCAACCGCGCGGCGGCGCTCGGCTCCGCGGGCGACTTGATGGTGGACCTCTACTACCGCGACCAGTTTGACGAGGACATCAAGTACGTGTTCGGGTACTACGAGTCCGACGACGAGGGCGGGCCCGGGCCTGCGCCCGACGCGCCGCGCGCCGCCGAGGCCCACGGCACGGCGCGGCGGGCCAAGACGGACGAGATCGAGTTTGACGGCGAGGGCCGCGACTGGCGCGACTGCGCGCGCGGCGAGAACGTGGTCTTCACCGCCCGCTTCTTGGCGTTGGACGCGCGGGCACGGGCGCCGGGCGCGGACTCGGACCACTTCTTCTCGTCGTGGTTCGAGCTCGAGCAGGCGCTCGAGTTCTTGGCGCTGGTCAAGATCGAGAGCGTGTCGGCGTTCGTGCAGCGCGTGGGCCAGGTGACGCTCAACACGGTGGCGAGGGCCATCCGCGACGAGGCGGCCGGCCAGGCGGGCGCGTCCATCAGCCCGGACCAGATCAACATGCACTTGACCTCGGTGGCCAAGCGCGAGCTCCGCGCCGTTGCGCACGAGGAGCTCCCGTCGTTGTCGTTCGACCAGCTCACCACGTTCGACCTCATTCTCTTCCGCAACCCGGAGTGCGCGTTGGCGCTTTTCGACGAGCTCTTCATGTGCAAGGGCTTGCGCAGATCGCTCATCTGGTACTTCACCCACTGCGTGGACTTTCTGATGACCTTGATCAACTACGTCTACGAGCTCGTGAGCGGGCTCCGCGGCAACTGCCCGGGGCGCGAGGCCAAGTACGCCTTTTCGCGGCAGGGGCCCTTGCAGCTCTCGCTGGTGGAGAAGCTGATGGCGCTCCACGAGCTCTTTGGCACGGCGAGCCGGTGGGTGCGCGACGACCCGGACATGCCTTCCTCGCGCGAGCTGCACACCGTCAAGCTAGTCCAGTGCCTCTGCCTCATGATCCTGCGCTTGATCCTGAACGGCACCATCAAGCAGCACTCCGAGGACTCCCTCGAGGACTATTCGCACGATCTCCAGGTGCTACTATTCCCTTGGATAGGACGGGTGCCCGCGGCCAGGGAGCTCTTTTTCAAAATAAAGCAGGATCAGTTTCGCTGGCTCGAGCTCGACGATGCACATGCTGATGAGAACACGCCCGAAAAGCCGCCCCAGCCCGCCCTGGACGCCAGCGCCTCCGACATCCTCTGCGTGCTAGACAGACTCGCCACCCTCCCCCACAACCAATACCTAGCTGTGGCCGAAGAGCCCTCCGTCCAGCTTGCATTCCGCGAGTTTGGCCAGAGGCTATTCTACCACATTTGCCGCATCTACAATGTCGACTCCGTCGACTTGACGCCCTTCAAGACCGATAGACCGGCGCTGGACGACTTTTTCATCTTCCTCACACGCTTCAACGACTTCTCGAAAAACAAAACGTTCGCGCGCAACATTTTCTCCCTACTAGAGGGGATCATAGTGGGGGACAGGCCTGACCCGCAGGATGACGGAGAAGCCGAATTCTTGGCCGCGCAGATGGAGCAAGGCGCCGCCTCTCAGACAAGCGACGCGGAGCCGGTCGAATCAGAGTTCAATAACGCTTTCCTTAATGGCGAAGGCCATTTCCAGGATGACGAGCTTGACAAGACAGATGACAAGACAGACGACAAGACAGACGACAAGAAGAAGAAAAAGAAGAAGAAGAAGCGCCGGGGGAAGAAATAATCGTGGAAAGCGCATCTTCCCGGAACACCGCGCCAAAATAGCATACAGCCATACCAAACGCAACGCCTCGCAGCCATGTCTGAATGACTCGAATTGCGGGTTGTAGGGGGTGGCTGTCTCTCCAGATACTCTGCGAGAGACACACCTTACGAGAATGCCGTCTCTGGTGGGGTTCATATACACTCGCTCTAGATCTAATGCTGGTGTTACCTGTCTAGACATCTGGCGGCGCCAAGCCGACGTGAATTCAGGAAAAAGACTAAAGGCTAGTCACTTCTGCTGCGCGGCTTAAAGGCTTCAACCACAGTTCCAGCCGGGCGGCAATTCACTTGAATGCAAATGGTTGTTAGATAGACTGCTGGCACGTGACCACGGGTTATTGGGCGCGGCGCCCCGGAACCGCACCCGAGAGTGACGGCTATCTCTACGCGTAATTACAATTCCGAGGCCCGCCAACTGTCCTTTTCCTCACCAATGTTTGCCAGCACTTTCCGTTCATTCCCCAAAAACGCATTCAAGATGTCCCAAAGATCCATTATCACACCTGTATGTATCGTGTAGAAACTGATGCGCTCTTGAATGTGGAGTCAGAGGAAACAGTTTTGTGACTGTCTAGCGTCGATTCTTTTCAGATTAACTCGTACTAACACTCCAAGGTTAAGACTGCCAACGCCCCACCACCAGCAGCTTCTTACAGCCAGGCTATCAAGGTAAACGGTATGTGTTTTGAGTCACGATGATAAAGACACATATAGTTGTTATATTGTGCCAGTCGCCCATGCTCTTTGGAGTATACTAACCCTAGGTTTCATTTACGTATCGGGCCAAATCCCTTACACTCCAGAAAACAAGCCTTTGCCAGGCAAGCCTACTATCGCGGAGCAAGCCGAGCAGGTGATCCAGAACGTGAAAAACATTTTGGAGGCGTCCAACTCGTCGTTGAACCACATCATCAAGGCCAACATTTTCTTGACAGACATGGACACCCAATTCGCCGAGTTCAACGGCGTTTACGGAAAGTACTTCAACGACCATAAGCCAGCCAGATCTTGCGTTGCCGTCAAGCAATTGCCTTTGGGCGTAGAGTTGGAGATGGAAGTTGTGGCGATCGACAAGGACGCCAGCAAATTGTAAGTGCCCAGTGGTTCGCATTGACAATGTGGCTTGATTCCAGGCATCGCAACTAAGCAATACATGACTGTTCGTATATAATTATCCTGTAGAGGTTATGGGAAGCCCGACACTCATAAAGCACATGTGATCGGGTTACAAATGATCGAGTTCGAAGAGCAGAAAATGACAAGTATGCTACCCCGTCACTCAGCCGTGCCAGTGCAACAGGTTCGAAGTCTCCACGGACAATGTGACTGGAGATAGCACATAGCTTGAGAAGACCAGGGCTCGATTCGAATGAAGCATGGATGATTTGGACACATCTAGACATAGGAATTCCAAGCAAAAGTGCGCTTGGAGTATGCGAGCTAAATTGGGGCCATTATCCTAGTGTCTCCCTGTTAATCAATCACCAGGGAACGGGACCCTTCCTTCCCCGGTCCTCGTATCTGGACCCTGCGGGACTGCATATTCGGGCGTGACCGCATGTTGGAGGCTAGGGCTGAAGACCTGAAGACGCCCGCGTGTCACATGACACGGCAAACGATCGCGCCGGCCAAATGCAGGCGCTCATCCTACCACCGCACCGGGCCGCGGAAAATTTCTCCAACCCAAATCTACTCACGAATACCTAAGTTTGATATCTACTTGAACTCACGACAAAATGGCTCAACGTGTTACCTACAGAAGACAAACTCCATGTATGTGTCCTACTCGATGCTGGAAACGAAATGCCCGTCTCTTACGCTTAATTTCATCCATACCCGTGATACTCCTCTAGCCTTTCAGAGCTGTGACCTCCAAACTGCCTCGGTCACTTTCCACCCAAAAATCCCACAATACATTGGAACAAATGAAAAGTTCTTGCCCGTGAACCAAAGCAGTCCAGAATTTCTAATCTAATCCCTGCAATTCATGGCATGTAGCCATCTGCCGCAAGACATGAGACCCCCCTATAAACAACCTGACCAAACTTAAATGATGATAGCTCTAAGCAGGCAAACCCGTGCAATCCCAGCTCTAAACGAAGCTTCATTACTAACAATTCTAGACAACACCAGATCCAACAAGATCAAGGTCGTCAAGACCCCAGGTGGAAAGTTGATCGCTCAACACGTCAAGAAGCAAGGCTCTAAGGTCAAGTGCGGTGACTGTGGCATCGCTTTGCCAGGTGTCGCTTCCTTGAGACCAAGACAATACGCTCAAATCTCCAAGACCCACAAGACCGTCCAGAGAGCCTACGGTGGTTCCAGATGTGCCAACTGTGTCAAGGAGAGAATCGTCAGAGCCTTCTTGATCGAGGAGCAAAAGATCGTCAAGAGAGTGTTGAAGGAGCAACAGGAGAAGGAGAGAAAGTCTGCCAAGAACTAAGCGGACTTCCTACACTTGACTCGTAATTCTTATAATGCACATTTGATATCATTCTGAAATTTATTTGTAGGTTGCTGGCCAGATTGGTTCCGCGATGATATGCTGGTTCTGTTCAATTGCTCGGCTCAACGCACATTCGTAGGCAACAGTTTGGCATGGCCTCGGTATTACGTGCCTTGTTTCATGCCATGGGTTGCGATGGCGTCCGGGTTCGGGGCTTGGAAGCTTTACTGATACTGGACCATGTCTCATATAGAGTGCCTAGTCTTATTACACTCATTGGGGCCCTCTGACCATCTTCCATATGCTAGGGGCATGGAGGGTGGCACGGAAACACTCACGGTTTTTCTAGCGTCTGTTCAGATCGAAACATACCGAAAATGCAACTGGCGTTATCCGTTCCTCGGCAACGCCCGACAGTGTTCAGGCTAGCTCACTAAGTAACCCTCCTAGTATTCCATAGACATATACCATGGACTGGTTCCAGCTCAAAATAGCTTTATTATTGCTGGCCCGTATAATGCAGCGCATGTAAAGACGTATGCTCAAGAAATTAAGCTATTTCCCTGCAGCGGAAGTCTGGGCCCGCACGGCTTATCAGTGATAAACCGGGCTTCCCAAATAATAGATAAAGCACTGACAGGCCCCTGACGTGCATACCCTTGAACGCTTTCCCAACTAAACACCAAGTGGCTTCGATCTTAGAATCTCAAAGATTTTTTGCTCTTAACCTTCGGCTATAATATCTGCTCAGAATGAACGCGGCACCTTCACTGTTGGTATCATTCGAAAACGTGTACCTTCCCCCCGCCTCCTCGAAGAAAAGCCCCGAAGTACCCAGCTATCATCCATGCCTAATAGTCCAAGACTCTCAAACTGACCTAGCAAAAGTGAAACCGTGCGGTTGTGCAGATGCGTATTGTGTTAAGAATGCTCCACTGTGGATACCTAGAGCCAAACATTGATGGATACCGGATTGTCATGAAGCAAGGCACAGAGTGCTCTTGAAAGAAAGCTTGAGCGGATATCACAAGCGGCTCATTGACCGTGTCAGGTTTTGGGAAATTGGCCACGTAGACAGGAATTTAAATAAGTGCGTTATCTCAAGAATACAAATCAGGGTGTTTTCACATTGCTGCGGAGAATGCTTCACGTCATTCCGATACACTTGAAACATTTATTTACAGCAGTTGGGGAGGTTCAGCGTTGTACCCTATTGTGGAAAGCAGCAACATCTACCATTACTTCTCCGGAGTCTGTTTTCAACTTACATACAGCCCCAGTCAATGTGCACCCTGGCGTTTGAGTAGAGCAAACCAACGCCTTTTCCACTCGCCCAAAACCAGAGTCAGTCTGGAATCCAGATCGCCCTAAGGGCACACCTCCTGCTCATCCCAATGGTGGGACTTGTCCTTACGATAGATGTATCTCCTTCCCTTTTCCTGATCATAGTAGTCCACGTGGTCAATAAACATACCCACCACAGCAAAGTTCTTCAAGCCGCTCTCCTCCTTCTTTCCGTCCACTCCCCGGTTTATTTTGTCGATGAGGTTTTGGTTCTTTTCGTCCATGTTTTCGCCCGGGAGCGGCCCGCGGAAGCCCAGCTTGAGCCCCTTGGAAAGAGTGCCCCATATGCGCTGTATTTCGCTGTCCCACTCTTCGCGGGTGGGCTCTTCGAATTCGACAGACGACACCTCATAGAGGTTCGCAAATGATGCCGAGACCAGCCCGCCTTCCTTGTGGATTCGGCTGAGATGGCGCGGTGAAATGATGGGGTATGGTAGCGGCGTTGCCTGTGGCGAGAGCGGCTCTCCGTTTTGCTGTTCGTTCTTGTTTGAGGCATGGGAGGTCGAGACGGAGATCTCCAAGTTGCCCTCGTCGTCGGAGTCTTCCTCGTCGCTGGAATTTATGCGCGAGTTGATGTTGCTTGCAATGATGTGTTTCGGCTGTATGGTGGTCAAGTCCAACTGCGGCGTGTGCACATCGTCGATGATGCGGGCTCTGCCACGCAAACGGAACTGTTTTCTGATTTTCTCGAAGTAGAACACGGCCTCGAAACGGTCGTTTTCCAAAAGCTCTTTGTACTTGTCTGTGCGTTTGTCCGTGCAGAAAGTCAACACGTTGCTCGTTTTGTCATCGAAAAGAAAGCCCCGCGAGACGAGCGTCCTGTTGTGGGGGAAGCCTTCTTTGTTCACGGTAGCAAGCTGGAACGAAATGAACGGCGGCTTGTTGTCCCTGGCAGATAACTCGCTGTCCATGGCAGAAACAAACGTGGGTGCCCACGAAGACATGTATTGGAGCTGGATCATCTTGGTGATTGGCGTGGCTTTCGAGCACAAATGGGGCAGCAGGCGATGTGCTTTGATACTGGCCAGAATTCCGCGCAAAATGGTGGCGCCGTATGTGTTCTGGTGCCGAACGCTATAGTACGGGGGGTGTCCTCACGTCCCAACTACGGCGTGCCTGGTCCTTCTGGCTGGCAAGGGGTGATTTTTTTTTTTTTAAAATTCGCTTGTACGAATATCTCTCAGGCCGCTGCACGGAGACCGGGGTGTGTGTTTGAGAGGTGTGGCCGCAAGCAAAAAAAGACACTTTGTGGTGGGCCTTGGGTGAATCAAAGTGCTGTTCGGAGTAGGTGCGACGGGTGGAGCCAGATGGAACCGTAGCTCAAGAGGACGGAGGGCGCGCACAGGAAAGAAGGGCGTGGGCAGACAAAAGAGATGGGGCTGGCGGCCGAGCGAAAAAATGAGAAATTTATGGGGCCTACGGGTCGGACACAGCCGGCCAGGGGTTGGGCCGGGGTACAGAAAATGAAGAGCACAAGAAAGGGAGAGCACATGCTTGGACAGGCATGGACTAGTGCGTTGAACCCGAAAACGAGCCTAAGGCCGAAATCAGTCAACGTGGCCCGAAACCATGGTTGGCTCATTACTTGTTCTGTGCATGTGAGCGCACCTGGCGGCGTAATATACCAGCGAGATGTTAATTTCGTGCGCCGTTCATTCCAGCGCCGGGCCCGGCTCCATCGTACGAGGCGATTGCCACAATAAACATTGAGAATTCCGGGTATGCGCTTAGGAGGCATGGGGCAACATGCCCGGCTCTGGGCACGGAGTTTGAAATGGAGATAAACCAGTTTCCTTTTTTTCTTCTTTTTCTTCTTCTTTTCCTTTCTTTCCTTTTGCTTTCTTTTATTTTTTTAGTTTCACTTGCTCTCTCCTTCTTTTTTTGTTCTTTTCCTTGTTTTTCCGTTTTGGTGAGGTAACAGAAAAGCGATATTGGGCCCCGGGTTCACCCACTGGTCCAACACGTTTGATGCAGCGTCTGTATGCACACCGTGTAATCAGTCAGACGGGGCACATTTGCTTATCGCCATCCTTTTGCTCCATTATGCTTGGTGTATGTATCTGGATATTGTATTCCGCAAAAACAAAAACTGTATTCACGTCTGTTTGAGTTTCGGTAGTGACTGCGAGGTATGGACCTGCTTCAGAATACGTTGTGGCGGGTCACATATCCAAGCACTTTGTGGAACCTCCTATGATCCTCTGCATAGCACAGCGAGTCAAAACAGTACCTTACAACAGCATTGGATGTATCATTGACATACAAATCTCGATAGCAAAGGAGAATTGCCCTTTTTGGCCACCTGTTCAATCCTCGAGCACAACCTCCGTTGATCACTCTCTTCGAAAATCCTACTTGGGCACTTGCATCACACCTTGCTTTGAACAAAATGAGTGTTGATTTACTTTTCATCGGCAATTCAATGGTGCTTTTCTTCGAACCGTAAGAACTCCCTTCAAGGCTCTGAGTCCATGTTTATGTACCTGCTCCATCCTTTCCATCAAGGACTGCATCTTGTAATTGTCAGTATAAACTGAGACTATACCCTCGATAGTCATTTCACGAGGAAAGTTCAGTTTCGCTCACGCAAAATGCACAACAGCTCAATCAATATTTGTTTTCCAACTAGTATATGGACTTCTATCAGCATTACTAGAAGCCTAACAGAAACATGAGAAGCAACTTTATTTGAATTATTCTTTTTTGACGAATTTGCTTCAAGACAACTACGAGAGATCACTCGACATCCCAAAGTAAATAGCATTTTCGCATCTTCAAGCCATTGAAACAATGTGAAAGTGAGAGACAGAAAGGCTCAATCAAATTGTGGGGATCTTTTGGGTAACACGCTGTTCATGAGGAGTATAATCTTTATTATTCCCCATCAACGAGTAAAATGAAATTGATTCTTTCGTCGTCCAAATTATTTTCGGTTCGAAAAATTGAGAATGGGAATAGAAGTATACACATCTCCTACTACCCCTTTTTTTTGGTTTTTAGAAAGATTGTGACTCTTTCTCCCATTCAATTGAGATCAGTGGAGGTTTTTTCCAGTTGGACAGAGTATGACAGTTTTTGACCTAGAGTCAGAACAAACAGCGCAACTCAAACGGTTTTTCCGCTTTCTGGCTTGCAGAAGTCAAGCCATCGCATGCTCTGTCTCTTTCCTAAATCACGATAATTTTTTTGTTTCGACAAATCGCTGTTTGATTTGCAGAAAACGAGCTTTTCACTTTTGTTTGTATTAAAAAGCTGCTTTTATAGAAATACTAGGCCAATACTATCTCCCTTTATATGTGTCATCTAAAGTCAGTGCACATCCGTGCCTTAGACCACTTATTATTCTTACTGTCAAAATATAGTGATGAAAATGCCGAAATATTCTGATAAGTCGCAATTTCTATTGTGCCATGGATATTGGGCGGGCTTTCCGTCCATAATTGGAAAAATAAAAAGGGAAAAACGAGGGGAAATGTTAAGCTCATTCTCCAATTATTACTGAAGGGCTCCTTCGGCTTCCAAGAAGCCTGCCATTTTTCGGTTTCCCCCATTTATCTTACTCAACCAAGTTAGCTAAAATATTCTGATATACATAGTGGATATCCACGTTGCTGCATCATTATTAAAAGAAATAAAAATTGTCGCTCTCACTTAATGCGTTAAATTTCTTTTTTTTTGTCAACAACATCCTAAAAGTTTTTCTGGGCGATCACTGGCTTTTGAATTCTCTTTTGCACCTAATGTATATGCATTTCCCTTCAATGTTTTAATCAGATTAAAATACAGCGTAGTATATCTTCAAGTCGTTCTAAAATTTTGTGAAGTAGAGCTTTGATCACTAGCTGACTTACCTTTGCAAAAAGTAATGGCTCCAGGGATATTTATGAGATCGCAATCAAATATTCATCAAATCCTAAAATGTCTAGTATAAACACTTTCACTGTAAACTGCGTGAGTTCGAATCTCTGAGTTTGATGCTGGCAAAGCGAAATAATTGAAACTTGGCAAAAGCATTTGCATAAATTCGGATGTATACATTGAAACTTGATCATATAGTGCGAGCTTTGAAGATATGCAAAGAAATTTTATTGTAAATGAAATGTTTTCAACTCAGACTTTATTATTGCGGGCTAGAGGAGAGAGCGACTTTTCAAAAAATTCTTCTATTTTATACATGTCAGCTATTCTATTTGCTTCTATGTCTTTCGAGCAAAAGTTCCTTTGATTCATTCAATAGCTTCCTAGTCATGGGGGTGTCCGAACACCAAGGCCCTTCCTGAGTAATAGGTTTGTTCTGATCCTGTATTTATTATAATACCGCCGAGAATGAGACTTGCATTAAAAATGGAGGCTCGTTTGATTGGTATACTGCATGTAGGTTTTGCGAGCTGTACATTCACGGCTACTCTGATCTAAATTCAAGTATCGCTGATTTGAAAATCTAGTCGCAAACCTAAAGCATCCACGTGGATTTAAATGATCAAATCCCGCATTTAACGAAAATAGCGCCATCAGATCTTTACAAAACTGGATAAGAAACAATAACTATCTCAGTAATTTGCTTTCCATGCGCAGGATTCACAATAGACAGGGCGCCTCGTCAGCAATGATCATAATCTGGCTCGATATACTTATTTTTTCATTCACGGGTTTTTGGGTAGATGAAAAGACACAATAAACTCTAGCTTAGATCGGCTTGATGATTTCCATGCAACACCTGTCTCGTTTCGCTAAGGCCTAAGTTATATATGTTTGTTGTTCCATGTCCTACTTCGGCAACAAGTTTCTGTCAATTTTGGGCTTTCGACGGAATGGAAGCATAGCTTATTCCATGAAATTTTCATGTGCTCTTATAAAGGAAATGAATCGTATCACTGAATTCCTCTTCATTGACCTGATTTCTTATCTTTTCATTCTTCCATTGTGAAAGAGCTATTTTCACCTTCTTTCTATTTACTACTATCAAGGGATATCTGACCAAGACATGGTTTTGGGAAGTTTTTTGCTGTTTTCTAGGTCTTAGCATGCTGAAAGCCATGCTTTGAATTCCCATAGATATAAATGTCATATGAGCCGAGTCACCATGCAGCATATTGTAGACTTCAAATCTTTCTTCAATCAGAATTCCCACAATAGCTGTCCGGGTAGTGGATTATTTTTGGCTCGACCCATCAGTAAAAAGCCAGAAAAAGAAAAATCAGAATATACACAACGATGAACTCCTGAACAAATTGTCAAATCCAAAGCAGTCTTCACCTTTGCATGATATGAGAAAAATCATTTTTCTATAAGAGGCAAGAAAAGCAAAATGTACTCCTGAATTGTTTGTAAGGACACATGTATACTCAAATAAATAAAGCTTGTTAGGTAATCTCCAAAATTAGTACAAACTTTTGTTTTTATTTAGCGGCAGATAGCGATTTGGATGATCTGATAATTTTTCTTGAGCCCAAAGAGCAATTTTTCACGGATAAAAAGCAACTGAACATGATAATGCTCTTTGATGGCGTCACCAAATTCAACTCCAATCAAGCCTTATATCACCAATTACCTCACAACAAAGATTCGTCTCTTTTATTTCATTCTGATTCTAAACAACAGTCTCAAAGATAATGAATACTATCTTTCTTGGCTCTTAATTACATTTAATATTTTATGAATATTAATTCACATTCCTTAATATATGCCCTTTTCTCGGTATTCAAGCCCAGCGGTATGATTAAATGCCTTACATATTTTGGTTCATGAAGAGATAGAACATTTACCGCATGTTTTTTGTTTGCGAGATTCTCAACGTGAGAAATGAAAGACTTTTCAGAATTGGGTGTTCTAGGCATTCTAAAAATAATTTAGACCCTAAGTCCCGGGCCACAAAGCCCCGGATCTGAATGAGCAATTATTGTCCTACTAGGCAAATAGAAAAGCAGCCTTGTGGTGGCTTTGAGTAAAGACCGCATTTTTCTCTTGTCGTGCATGACTACCGAATTTTTCCACTTTCAAACAATTAGGTACGCGATTTCAAACTCAAATCAATCTGCAAGTTCGTCTAAACTTACCATTTGTGAAGTTTTAGCAAAGTTGACGAACTTTGGAATCTTGTTTTTCGAAATCCATTCCTGCCTTCTTCCAGGAGAGTTTCCCTTGAAACAAGTTTTCTTTTTTTACTTCTCCGGTGTGCCTAGCCTTAGGCTACGAGGCTTCAAGCTTCTCAAAAATCAGAAGAGAATTTATGCTACTCTCTAGAGACTAAATATAGCCATTTTCAGTAGTAAGAATCATGTGGTAAAATGACGAGGTTGCGTTAAAGTTATTATTGTGGACCTCCATCTGTCCGCTTCTTGCTCAGGAGCATCACATTGTAAATTATAGAGAAATTTAGCGATCTGCATTATAAATCTTTTAAATCTCGAAATATTTCTAGTACAAACCTGAAGAAGTTAATTCCCTGAGTTACCTAGGAAATTCACAGTTGGGATTATAATAAAAGATGATAGAAGCAGTGTGCTTCCTTGAACAAACAGTCCCGTTGAAGGACAGGTATCTCACGTCGTGTTCTGAATCCTGGCTTGATTTAGAAGACATTTTCGTAATTATTCCAGCCCTCTTGAATCTTTTAAGTTCTGCTAGAGGAATATGACTCTATTTTAGTGGCAAGTTTACCTTAGTTCTAGTTAGAGGTGATTTAACCTAAATCCCGAGAATTAAAGTATGCAAGTCTGATCCAAAAGAAATTGTTGATCGATCTGGTGTTTTAGACTTGAAGCGAAAGAGTCAAGTCAATCGTTATGCCTACTGGAATTTATTTGAGGCCGTCTGAAGAGTTACGCCCATAGCTTGCAAGCGAAATTTCCGGTTCCCAGAATCGTGTGGCCGTTCAATCGCCTCAGCGCTTGCAGAACGAGGATCGCAGACAATATGCATAAAAGTCGCGATTGAAACCCCCGTGCATTTTCTGGCAACGCGCTTCGCCAAGAAAAAGATCGGGAAGCCATCTATTTCCTGTATATAACGTATATTGTGGCTCAAAATGTTTAGCCTAGCTTATACATTACAGAAGTACATGAGAGGAACAACATTTGGGAAAACGTTTTCAAGAGCACGCCGACATCTTTTTTTAACTTATTGAGCTACTTTTCCGAATGATGCAGGCCGAAGCGTATAAAAAATTTATACATATGGCAAACCTGTTGTTTTTTGCAACAGGATCATGGCCCATCACGCTAATTCTTACCCAAATTTGTGTGTTGCGTACGGTTCCCTACGCGTTTTGGCATGCATGAGAGCGAAAACACCCAACAACATTCGGGTAGCGTTTTTCGTAAACAAGAAAAAAATCGCGAAGAAGCTTCGGGCTGAGGGCAAGTCAACCAAAGTACTTAGAACTCGGTGTACAATATAACTTGAGTTGCTTAAAATCTTAGCACTAAACTGTATGTTTCCCAAAGGACAACAGGGATATCATGACTTGAGACCGTTAACAGAAGCTGTTGCAAGATGGTAGGTTTAAAAGAACTGAGTGAAGGTTTGGACTTGAACAACGGACGCACCGGGAAGTTTAAACAGGACCGCGTGCTGCAAAGAGAACTGGACTGCAAAAACATCGAAGCCACACTGAACTCAACCTAATTGGATTCAAATATGGCGTTCTGAAAAGTATGATGCACCGGAGAGAGCAAAATAAAAGGCGAAGAATCAGACTCCTAAAATTTTAGTTTGATTTCTCAACGCATACCTCCAACCTCACTCACAATGAAACTAGGTTTTCGCGCGGCGGCTTTGGCCATCTCGTATATGTTCAGCCTAGTGCTCGCTGTGACCATCAGTGAAAACACTGTTGAAATCACGACCATTGAATTGTCCTTGGGCGCTCTCGTTATCAATGCTGGTGTTTATTACTCGATTGTGAATAGCGCGCTCGTAACTTTGGTTGGCTCTGTTGACAATGCTGGTGGCTTTTTTGTCACGAGCGCTAATGGTTTAGCCGCTTCGGTGGTGATGACTGGCGGACATTTTGAAAACTCAGGAACAGTTGCCTTCAACTCCATGTCAGCAAACGTTCTTTCAACTTATGACATTGCTACGATCGGATCTTTCTCGAACACCGGTGATATGTACTTTGGTATATCCGGCGCTCCTCTTGTGGGAACGCCATTTATTGTCACTTCTGTGACCTCTTGGACTAACAGTGGTATGATGGTTTTCCGGAGAGCCTCTGGTGGCAGTGCCTTGTTAGTAATTGAGCAAGTCCTTGGAGGCGATGGTCTTTCCAGAATTACAAATGACGGATCAATTTGTTTGTACAACACCTTCTGGTTACAAACAACTAGTATTGATGGAAGTGGCTGTATCACTGTGGGCTCGGGTGCCGAGTTGGACTTGCAATTAGCCGTTGGAACGCTTTTGTTTTCTGTTGCAGAAACCCAAACCATTTACTTGGAGTCCTCCGACTCCGTGTTGAGTATTCTTGGATTGAGCGTATCTTTGATCCCCGATAATACCATTAAAGTCGCAGGCTTTGGAAATGGAAACACAATTCATCTTGACATTCTTTTCCTTTCATATTCATATTCTTCGACCACAGGTATATTGACCCTTTCGTTGACCTTCTTACTCGAAGTTGATATTGACATTGGTACCGGGTACGATGAGTCATTGTTCAGCACGTCATCCACGTTGATCAGCAGAAGCATTTCTTACAGCGGCCCTGCCCCTAATAGTATCCCAGCCGTATGTTCGTGCGTTTCTTCCTTCCCAGAAGTCACAACTACTGCCATTGCTTCTTCCTCCACATTCATCGCTTCAACTGATAGATCTCTGGGTACAATCACAGCTTCTTCTGAGACTTCCGCCCCAGCTTCGTCTGCTGCTCCAGCATCTTCTGAGGCTCCAGTTTCTTCTGAGGGTCCAACTTCGTCTGCTGCTCCAGCATCTTCTGAGGATCCAGTCTCTTCTGAGGGTCCAACTTCGTCTACTACTCCAGCATTTTCTGAGGCTCCAGCTTCGTCTGCTGCTCCAGCTTCGTCTGAGGCTCCAGCATTTTCTGACACTGGTTCTTCTTTCGTCGGCACCACCTACACCACGACTTTCGTTTCTACCAAGTCTGATGGTTCTGTTGAGACTGACAGCGGTGTTGTTGTTGTGACTACCGACTCTGTTGGCTCCGCCACCACCGCCTCAGATTTGACCCGCGATGTAAGCGAGGTTGGAACGGGAAAGCCCGTAGATGTTTCAAGTACTTTTATTACAAGCCGGAACTCAAAGGTGACCGATTCATGTGATGGAAAAAGCACTTGTACTTGGACTTCAACCGACGGTGCAGCCAGTGCATCTGCTGGGGAAAACTCCAAAACGGGAGTGTACTCAACCCTTACAACCGTTACCAATGGCCCAAGCGCTTCTGATGTCACTAAATTGACCGTTACTTTGCCGTCATGTATTGATTGCGACACTATTACAACTGGGGGTGAGCCTACTTCTTCGATTACAGCTCTGGTGAGCAGTCTGAGCAATTCCATGAGTTCTATTACTATTTCGGCTTCTGTTAACATTAATCATCACGGAGAATCGGTATATTGCATATAGTGAGCAGGACCGGGCGTGGGATGTGAAAACTCTTCACGCGGGAACCCACGACCGGTTTGGTCTCCATCGGTTATCAGTAATAAGTTAGAGTCCAGGGTAATATATCCCGGGTCTATATCTCAACAACGGACTACTGTGTAGGAACTGCTTTGAGTGTCTTAACAGCTTCTCAAACATCGATCTCAACCTTTGAGGCCGGAGTTGCATCGCAATCCATGATTATGAGTATGCTCATTGTGCCTTTGTTAGCCTTCCTCTTCTAGATTCTTTTTCTTTTAGTCGTGCGAACAAAACTATTTGCACGAGCAATTTTTCGGGACTACCCATTTGAACAACGTTTTTCTGGGTTTTATGAATAGAGTGATCTGTCTACAAAAGACATGCCTTACACATATTCACTTTCGTCAGCTGAGTGGCTGAATTTCTAATAAACTTCTCTTCTTAGTTAGAAACGCAATGGAGCAATTTGTGTTTATCACCTCGAACGGCGCAAGATAAATTGAATTTTTTTTTTTTCACTTGCAGCGGACGACTCACTCTTGTGGCCAGGTATTTGGCCAAACATTTCCACATTAGTTCAATATCTTTTGATACTTACAAGTAAGCAAGTATTTTTAGAGCAGTGGCTCATTTCGCGCTCTGCAATGTAAACAATACTCGGGTTGCTTGCTTAGACTCGCAAGGACAGAAAGTAAAGCACAAAACAAATGGTGCGAGAACTTCATGTGTTGAAGTTATATACACGCTGTAATGGTCGCACATTTCAAGTTTATTGTATCAATTGTTGCGAATATTCTGAAAATAAACGTTTGATTCTTTTGTGGTATTGCCTGATATTTGAGCTTCAACAGCACTTATGGTTGCCCAGCATGTGAGTTTTTGAATATAGGTGTACAATATGTCACTCTGAAGATAGACATTGAACAAAAAAAAAAAATTTTTTTGACTTCTCAGACAGAGGTTTTATCATCGTGATTTAATGAGTTGAGATTATGATTTCCTTAATGGTCTTTGCGCTTGTAATTTGAAGAAGCAGTTTCAAGTTTCTATGAAAAATACTAGTTGACGTTGACTGCATAAAACGATAGACGACCCCTTGAATCCTATTGTTTCACCAAAATAAGCGTTTGTTACATGGCTCATACAGTACAGTCTTCGCCTGAAAAAGATGTGATGACTTTTTCATTTCGATGTTTTTTCTGGAAAAATGCTACATTATAGACTAAACTTGCTTGCAAATTGAAATTTTCCATTTTTACCATATTTGTGAGCTTATGCGAGAATCTGGTTGAATTTATGATAGAGTATTTAGCAGGCTTTCCGTCTATGAATTCTCGTGATACACGGTAAGAATGAAATAAAATAGTACTACACATATGGTTGTTTGAGAACTTCAGTATAGACGAACAAGCCATGATTTTGAGAATACGTGGGTCTCTTAGACCTAGACATCGTTAACCAATAACAATTTCCGTCACCAGAATTGAAACTCAATGAAAATCAAGACTCTTGTAGCAACTATAACAGTTGCTTTGGGTCTGGCATTTGCAACTGTCATAAATGCAAAAACTTCTTACACAAATTCGAACAATATAACCTTAGACTATCTTACTGTGAATGAGGGGGTATATCTTTCAATTGAAGACTCCCTTTTTGTTTCCCTTGAAGGATCTGTTAACAATGCCGGTGGATTCTATGTTACAAGCAGTTCAGCCACTTCAGTTTTACTAACTGGTAAGCATTTTGAAAACTCTGGAACAGTTGCCTTCAAATCCTTGTCAGCAAACGCACTCTCATCATTTAAAGTTGCTGCATCTGGATCTTTTCTAAACACTGGAAATATGTACTTTCTTATATCTAGTGCAAATTTGGTGGAAACGCCATTTAATGTCTCTTCTATGACCTCATGGACCAACAGCGGTATGATGTTCTTCCAAACAGACTTCAAAATTAGTCCTACATTATATCTTGGGAAGATTCAAAGTGGTGTTTCTTCCATAACAAACAGTAGGGTAATTTGCTTATCGAACATAGACTGGTTAACAACGACAAGCATTTATGGAAGTGGCTGTATCTCTGTGGGCGTTACATCAAAACTAGAATTTCAAATGTTCCTGCAAGCCCTGCATCACTCTATATCAAAAACTCAAACTATATACTTAGCATCCTCTAGCTCTTCTTTGACTATTCTTGGTTTAGCTTTCGATTCTGATTCTTTCGTCATCATCAAAGTTGCCGGATTTGGAGGGGGAAATATAATTGAGGTTGATTATGCGTTCACTAAGCATACGTATGACGATATTACGGGTATTCTTAGGCTTTTGTTGTCACCCTTGTCTGAAGTTGGATTTAAAATTGGCCAAGGATATGATTATTCCTTGTTGAAAGTATCAAAAGATGGCCAGGGCATTTTCTACGATGGCCCAGCTCCCAAAAGCCGACCAGATGAATGCTCATGTATTTCATTGTTTTTCTGATGACATCTGTACAGATATCCCCTCGTCAGTTATCCTTTTTTTTGCAATTCAATTTGTTTGTGTTAAAAACAAGTCCCAGCGCCCTTAATGTCTGAACTAATTCTTAACTACGTAATCTTCGTTAATAGCTTCAACGAGTCTCTTGATGCATAACAGATATGTGCTTTTGCCATAGTTAACCTAAATGGTACTAGGCTTTGAATTGGATTATAACAACTACATACATTTTTTTGAATTCTTAAGATAAAATTGCTGAGCTAATTTCATCAAACCAGTCAATTATTTGTTGGTGGTTTGAGTTTCTATTCATCTCGAGACGTAATTTGACAATTTTTAATATTTGAATCTTTCTCCTTTATTTTGTAAGTGAGTTGTCACCTTTTAATGTCTAAATGAGCAAATGTTGTATATTGCTTTTTTTCCAATCAGCTAGTAATCCTCTCAATTGATCAGCTACATGTATTGTTTTCCAATGTATCTGTTATTTGAACTAAAGGCCAAAGATTTGCACCAGGGAATCAAACGAGCGTCAGCCATCTTAAGTTCCTATTTCTACGCTTGGATCGCACATAAATCCAACAAAGCTACTTGACATCTTTTTTTTCAAGGATAAAATATCGGACTTATTATGCGGAGGGGTTTTGCAATGCGTCATCATTATCAATAGAACCATTTGAAATACTTACCGCAGTATCGAATACAGAATGGGAAGTTTTTTTAGCTCCACTTCGTATCACATCTCATTCTAACTGTGTGCTTTATTCTTTCCAGAGAATTCACTTTTTTTTTTTTTCATTAAGCTAACTATCTTACTGTTTGTTGACTATCTAATTATTTACTTTCTATGAAAAGGTTCAATAACTTAGAAAATTATTTCGCGAATGTTTTGCGGCCCATCAACTTCAAGTAATTCATCAAGAGTTTGTTCCTTGAAAATTTTAAGCACGAAACTGGTAAACGTGCAATCTGTCATCACTCAAAAAGAACTTAGAATTAAATTGCAAGCTCAGTAGAATAATTTGTTCCAGAAACACATTTTTCTGTTTATCGGAAAGATTAACATGCAATCAAAAGTTCTGATTCTCATTTTTTATTAGAGCAATTTTACTGCCATCTGCCACTTCATGAACGAAAAAAATGACTAACCATAAAATGATTTTCGTTTCCAAATCACGACTGAAAATTTTTGCTACACTCGGCTCTCTTGTACGATGTTCTCTTGTAAAGCACACATTTAATGGAGAATTTTATTTCATTATAATATAAGGTGCATAATTTATGATTAATTCATGATGATTTCTTAAAAAGTTTCGAAAATTCCAGGGCATAATGAATTTTTGAGCCTCTTCATAGGTATCATCAGCAGCCAGAGCTGTAGAAATGGACATATAAACTAGTTGTTCTATGTGCCTGAAGACCTACACTCCTAATACATACACGTGCTATACATGCACAAGTAATCTACACATACATTGATAAGATTTTAATATGGTATTAAATTGCAAAAACTAATTAGCAGGCAAATACTGACTTAGTCGGCTAGTTAGTTGGCATGATTGGAATTGTCCTTCTAAGTAGACTCGACAAAGGTTCATGATCTCACTTCATACTTGTGGAATTAGGTGACTCAATCACTAGAGTGGTTAGGAATGGTGCCCACATAAAAAATGAAAAACTTTCTGGGTCTCATTTCTTTTTCTTATTCAAGACTTTCATTCAAATTTTATTCGATTCTTACGTTCCCGTAGGCCAAGTCCGCTGATGCGGCCCTTTTCATTATACCATTCGCTCATACTTTCTCACTAGCTCTAGACGCGATACCCGGTTAGGCCTGTATACGCATGCTAGGTATATCTTTAATATTAACAGAGTTTCTAGACTGACCTATGGGTTGTTTAGATAGATGACCCGACCAGTATGATGGTTGGGACACGTACTCTAAAGGCGAAGCCACTCTCACAGTGGTCAGCTATATAAGACATGAAAAACCTTTCATGTCTCCTTTTCTTCCTTCTTTAAGGGAAACTCCTCTTCATAGATCTACATCTTAATCGATTCTTACGTTCCCATAAGCTAAGTCCCACAGATGTGGTCCTTACCATAGTACTGTTTGCTCACATGTTTCCACCACCCTAGATGTTATACCAAGATGTGCCCGGTATACGCATACTAGGACTGTCTACAACATTGGCCAAGGCTCTGGGCCGGCGTATAGTTTCAATGCAGGATAGACTTCAACATGAGCTCAATGTGTTTCACACAGGATAGACCTGAACAATGCTGGAAATAACAATGTGCAGTTTTCGGGGTGACAGGTAACCGAGGCTAAACTCAGAGCCTAAAAGGTGGGCTTAGTCATGTACCTACAAAGCCTTACTCCGACCGGCTGACAATTTAAAAAAAAAATGTGTTTTACCATTGCACACGGATAAATTTCGAGACAAAGATAAAATACAAGAAGTTAAGAAAAGTAATAGTGGCCAAACAATTGAGCCAGCTTAACATGAAGCGAGAATTCTAGAAAGGGGTCGTATCACGTGATAGAGACGGCCTTAGGCGAGATGGGATAAATCAAGGGCTCTTGGCGAGAATTCATGTCTTTATGATGTATCAGGAGCATTGGAATTTCTTGGAATTTCTTGGAATTTCAGGGACTAGAATGTAACAATAATTGTTATCATTTCACTCGCTTATACATGAAACGTACATTGTCTCTTTGTGCAGAATTGAGACTGCTTATTGTCGCCACCTTTTGGGCCAGAAATGTCTGTTGTTTTAGTTCCACAAGGAGCTACCGAGAATATTTTCAAACTTATAAAAGAAAAGAATGAAAATTTCTTTCATTATAAAATTCAGGAGAAAATTCAAGCTGATAAAAATCTGTTCACGGAGACCCAAGGAGATAATAATCAGATAACTGTCTCATTGATATACCCTTTAGTGATTCTGCACATATATCTGTCAAATACGCTCCTAAAGTATGAAACTAGGCTCTCTCGCGACGGTCTGCGCGTTTCTCTTCATCCAGGCACTTGCTGTGAGAATCACCGAAAACACTTATGTGAATGATAAGGAACCCAAATCCTTGAGCAAAGTTTATGTAAGTAGAGGGGCATATTATTATATTGAAAACAGCCCTCTAGTTTCTATGAAACATTTTGTTCACATTGAGGGTACTTTATTGATCACAAGCAGGAATACTTTTCCAGCGTCGGTGGCTATGACCGGGCGGTATTTTGAAAATCGGGGGTGGGTCGCCTTCACTTCTTTGCTTTCGGAGTCTCAATCTTATTTCCATATCGTTACAAACGGGTTTTTCCGAAACCTTGGCGAAATGTATTTTGGTATTTCTAGAGCTCAATATCGGTATGTGCCATTCATAGTTAATTCTGGGGAATTTTGGGAAAACCACAATAAAATGGTGTTCGAAAGAAAATCCACTGAACCTGCACAGTTGATGATCAATTCTGCGAGCACTACAATCCTAAACATGGGATCCATTTGTTTGATCGGCACCTACTGGGCGACAACTACAAATATAGACGGAAGTGGCTGTATCACCGTGGACTACGCCTCTAACTTGGATTTGCAGTTCTCCGGCGGTACGTGCTTTGTTTCTTCAGCTCAAACTATCTACTTGAAGTCTCTGTATTCATTTTTGAGAATCTTTGGGTTGAACTTAACCCCGAATGTCGTCCCTATCATCAAAGTTGCAGGTTTTGGGGGAGGAAATGGGATACACCTCTTTGATACCAATTCTGTTATTGAACACTTTTACGATTGCAACACAGGCTATTTGACACTCTATATCTGCGGCAGTCCCATTATTAGCTTTGACATTGGTCTCTATTATGATCAATTATTTTGTGTAGCAACACAATCAGGATTTGTGAGTATCACTTACAACTCTGAATGTCCCAACGTGGCTCCAACTTTATGCTCATGTGAAATATCTTGGATTGAACCCCCACCCACGACTCCTTCCCCATCGACGCTGTCATCTGTTTACAAGACCCCATCGACGCTGTCATCTGTTTACAAGACCCCATCGACGCTGTCATCTATTTACAAGACCCCATCGACGCTGTCATCTGTTTACAAGACCCCATCGACGCTGTCATCCGTTTCATTAGTGTCTCGTGTGTCTTTGTCAGTTTCGTCTGCTCCTTCATCGTCAACAATTGAACTGCTGACAATTCCTTCGTCAACTGTTTTTTCTGCATCATCTGAAACTTTTTCTGTTTTGTCTGAGTCTTTTATTTCTTTATCTATTTCTGTTTCTGAAGTTTTGGAGTCGGAGTATACTTTGATTCATGTCGCAACAACGTCTGAGACCTCTATTGAATCTGACTGCAACCCTGCTATCGTTGAAACCGACACTGCTGCATCTTTGACAGCTTCTGCATCATTGGTGCCGGCTGCTTCAAACTTCAAAAGCGAAAGCAGTCAATCTCCAGAAAGTACCAAAGGTCCAATCACAAGAGAAACCCCGGCTCCGAATACCTCTTGCGATGAAGGAGGATTCTGCACTCCAGTCGTGGAGACTACTACTTTAAACATTGCTCCTGTCCCAAGTGGAGCTGCTAAAGTGAGCTACACGACTGAGACCCTCATTTTCACTACCACTATCTCTTGCGGCCCAAGTTCATATTCTACTTCGATTTTGACTGTCACTCGGACTGTGAGTATCGACTGTGATACTTCTGAAACTGGTGAAGGGCCAAATCCTACAGTGGCTCCCGCGACAGATGCCCCGGGGCACGTTCTGGGCAGCACCACCAGTTCTGGTACTATGACTGAAACCCCGATGTCTTCTGTTTCGCCATTTGAGGGCGGAGCAGGGTCGAGATCCGTGGTTCTGGGTATGTTCGTTTTATCTTTGTTAGCCTTCCTTCTCTAGGCTGTTTTCTATGGCCGTATTGATTTCTGTCGACACGCTTTATTTTCGAGGTTGTGCACTCTGAAGCTCCAAGATTCTCTTTGGGCTGTCTTCCTAGTGTTTATCAATCACTTTATATCTTTCGCTAGCTTTTAAGCTTAAATTTCGAATAAACACTGTTTATAAACACAGAGTTACCCTGTTGGAAGCTCTGACGATAT